GTAAATTTCTATACTTGCAAAGAAGAAGAGAATAATGCGTATATAAATGTATACAAGTAGTATAAGACGCTACCTTGTCAGCCAACTCAAGTTACTACAAACTCGTCGATTAAACTTAACTTTCGTCACTATCGCGTAATTTTCTCCTCGCTTAGAAACCTACGTCAGATATTTCCCACACATTGCCGCATATATCAATAATATAATTTCGATCGTTCCTCGCTTAGAAACGGGACAATCCTAGCAATTACATCAAACGCTCCTCAAATGATGCCGCAATTTGTCCATCCATTGTGTAGCAGAATAAAGTAACCTCAAAACCTGTATGTAAACGAAAGGAACTTAATTCCGAGCGAATCAGTCCTTCGTTCACAAAACCGGGCAACGATAGACGCGCAGGAGTTCGAGGAACAAAGAGGGAGCGAACAGCTGAATCGTGGTGGCGAAACGCTCGAAACGGACAGGTGAAATTAAACGGGCCGAGACGGGTACATATTTCATTAGACGCGTAATCTTGTTTATTGCAGGGTACACTGGTAAGTAATTGAACGTAAACAGTGCAATTTTCCGGCACTCATTTGCTCGATTTCCCTTGGAAAACCGATCGATCCTCGCTAAACGAATCTTTCGCGCGTCGAAGTTCCGGCGTAATGGCCGGAGAGAACGAGAGGAAACACCGGGCACCGGGGCGAAAAAATGAAAGAATTAGCAGGCAAACAGAGGGAAAGAAAGAAAGAGAGAAAAAGAGACAGACAGACAGACAGACAGAGAGAAAGAGAGAGAGAGAGAGTAAATGTGTACAGGCTCTGGCAGGAAAGCAATCTGGGAAAACGAACTCTTAAAAACGCCACGCATTCTCGTTCATTCATTCCTCTGCTCCAAAGCGAATCGACATCGACTATTTCCCCTCTTCGCAAAGACACGAAGCTAAAAAAGAGAGGAGAGGAACAGAGAAAGAGAGAAAGAGAAGCGGGACAAAGCGAGCGAGGAAGAGAGAGACAGAAACAACGCGTTTTGATTCAGTTTCACGGCCTCGTACTCGTTCATCTTGCAGGAATTTTTCTACTTTTGTTCTCCTCTCGTTTTTTTCTTCTTTCTTTTTTCTCTCCTCTGCGTCTTTTTTTTTTTTTTTTTTTAGGGTCAACACGAAAATCCACCGTCCATCCATGCATATCGTTTTTTATTTCCCCCGACGAAAGCTCTGTTAATGCGCGCGTTAACACCCCACGATCCGCGCTGGTGTTTTTTTACAATCCCCCTTTCTTCGCCCATTGCTAGTTCACCTCACTCTCTCTCTTTCTCTCTCTCTTTCGTTCTCCCTCTTTCCTTTCTATATCTCTCTGCCGTCTCTGTCCAGCTTCCCTTCCTTCCCTCACTTCTCACTACCCAGCCCTCCTTCTCTCTGTCCCACCCTCTACGTAGATTACCAGGGCTGGCACGCCGTAAAATCTGCCGACACGTGTAAAAACGACACGCGTTAGCCCGCGGGGCTGTTCCCTATTTTATTTTCCTTACGACTATTTGCTGTAAACCAGCAACCCCGAAAAATCTCTTTGGGAACGGGCACACGGCTGCTTTAACGTCCACTCGACGACTTAACGTCCGTAATCTAGCTTCACTTAACTCTCCCGTGACGCTACGTAACCCTCCCCATCCCCACCCCCTTGCCCCATCTACTTTAGGCTCGTTCCTTCGAGGATTAAGACTACCCTCTTTCTCTCTCACTCTCTTGCTTACTCGCTCTAACTCTTTCTCTCTCTCTCTTTCTCTCTTTTCGCCTTTTTCGCAGGACCAGACCGATGGTTTATGGATTTTTATTTTCTACGCTCGTTGGAAACAAGTCGAATTCCAATCTTTTTTGTTTTTTTTTTTTTGTTTTTTTAGCTTCCCCCCTTTCGGTCGGACGAAATTTGATTAGACGAAAAGGAGATCGATAATACGAAAATTGGGGTGAAATAGAATTGCAGAGTTTGCAGCAAGAAGCATTTTATATATTTCTTACATATTTATATATTTTATACACGTATTTTTCATTTCGTTCGAAACATGTGATATTTCACTTGGTGTAAAAAAGAGTTGTTAATCTCAAGTGAAAGTGTATTAGTTGATTATGAATTTTTACCGTTTGAGACGGTATATGATTTTTAATTGCTCTTTTTCCTTTTTGTTGGTTACTGAAATCACCGGAAAGTGAAACTGTCTTTTTGTTGCAACAATTTCTTCAATTCTGTGACTTCTGACTTCCGACTAATTTCTAGTTTAATATATAAACGAAATGTTGTCACATTATTTAACGAGTATTGTAATATTGAAATTGAACACAAATAACAATCTTGATACTGCTAAGTATCAATTTTGATATTTAATAGTTTGGTATATTAATTCGATAATAGCTAACTGCAATATCAACGCTAAAATTGCAATAGATACCTTGTACACCGCAAAATTGATAGTTCGAAAATCAGAAATGTAAGAGAATTCTAACCAATATTCTTACAACGAGAAATAATTACAATACAACGTCAACATATTCAATTTCACCAAAATTAAACTTGAATCGACCGTGATACGGTTGAACAACTCACTTTCGCCATTGAAAAAGTTAGAAATTCATTTAGAGTAATAAAGTATAACAGAGTAAATTCTCGAATTGCAAATAAAAATTCTTCCCTTTTCCTTCCCTTTTCCCCCAAAAGTTTGTTAAATTGTCTCCGCGTAAATGATACAAAGTTCAAATATCCTCAAGCGTCGACAACTCTTAACCCTATTCCTTTCGTTTAAAACCAGATTAAGCCAGCTTCCTTCTTCCTCTTCTTCTCTTTTTTTTTTTTCTTTCCCTCACCCCGACTTTATTAACTAATTTGGAGTAAAGCGCGGAGGTAAGAGAGAGGAGAGAAAAAAAAAAAGGAATAAGTTAGCAAAAAGTTTCGGTCAGATGGTGGTTAGCTACAAACTTGGCTGCCGCTTTACGACACTTGCGAGTTCGCGTTCCTTCGCGTCATGCGGAACAAAACCGGCTCCTATTCGACCGCTCTCGACAAAATCCACGCGAACAATCCTGTCAATATACAATATACGCGTCAACGAGCCCGGCTTCTTCAGGAGAGGCAAAAATAACCACAATTTCTCTGGCCGAACGTTTCAATCGTACGACAACAGTTTTTTCGGATCGTTTTAAAACCGTAACTGGAAATGGTCGTAAAATATTTACATGGAAAGTTTCTCGATAAATCGTGATTGAATGAAACTCGAAAAATAGAGCTATCTGTCTACTTTGAAGATAATTTTGAAATATGATTTATCAATGAGCAACGTGACAATTAATATCAAAATTTTCTGGCTAGATAGATCTTTCAGTTTGTGTTACAACAATATTTTAAGAAATTTATAATAATATTAAAATAATGTTTGATTTCTCTATATTTGTCGCACTTTGGTGCAAAATATTAGTTGAACATTTTTAAACATCTTTTATATATTAAATATTGCTTTTGGAATGTAAGGAGAAAAATGCATTTTGTGTTATTTCGTTATGACTATTATTCAATTTATTTTAAATATTATTTTATTTAATATAACTGACTCATATTTTTGTGAATACAACTAAAGAAATAGAATATAACTAAAGAAATGCGACTGAAACGTTGTTGTTTCGTCTATCAAATATTATAAAGAGTAATTTACATCTCTGAATATTGTTTTAGACGTTTGAATTCCTCTAAACGCACAAACATCCGTGGTCGAATAATTAGAATAAAATTTTATGATCTAGATCAACATATACTTTTGTATTCATTCACTGTACACTCGATGAAAATTTAATGAGAACTTGATAAAATTTATTTTTCAAGCAAAATAAATCTAAATAAGTTTCTAATCGGACTTCAAAGACAAAGACACTATAATTAGTGTGTTTTGTAATGCAGACAGTTAATAACTATCAATTTTAATTCACACGTATAATTGATCATTGTCCTAAATCTACCGACAATGTTTGTACAGAGTAAGTGTACATATCATGTATTATTACCATACACTATGCAACACTATGAACACGATACTACGTCAAATGTGAACTATATACATATAATAGTACTGTGTCATGCAACTGTCATTAATATCAACCCTTTGCACTCGGAAGACGATCATCCACCAACTCTAGCATATTTTTCAAATAAAATTTTTCAAAACCAAAAACTTTCTCTTTCGAAAAGAGAAGAAAGAGATTGCAAAAGTTTCATAAATTCATCCGTGTAAACAGCTTTCTTCTTTCCTCCAACTTTTATCGGTCAAAATGATATAAGACACACTAACATCTTCATAGTAACATCAATAGAGCAATAAAGGATTGAGATTGATAATTATTATTATATGGTTTTGACTATCGTGGTATAATCGAAGAAACGATGATTCCTCGTGCAAAAGTAAGATGTAAAGACGTAACATGAAGTTTTTCATACTGCTGTTCGAAAGTTTGAAGGACTCGTTAATCTCATATTCGCAGCTAACCAACATAAAAATCCCACGTCGTTTTAATAACAAACGTAAAACTTAAGAGATAAAAATTTATAAATAACTGTCGGTATATTAACTAACAACACAATCCTATCCGTCGAAAAAACAAATTTTCATCGAAAATTGACAGAACGTTCCAAATTGTTAAACGCGCGTATCGTATCCGAAAAAAAAAAGTCGTGTCTGAATATTTGTCGAATACGTGACTCGATATTTGTTAATTAACCAAAATATCGACGCAACCGAGATACACGCGTCTCTGATAAATATATATTCGAGTTCAACTTCGCTGAAAACCGATTTCAGTTCGATTACGATAGAAAGGAATTCGTTCTACGTTTCCCACTGGCTCTCGCTTCGAGTCATCGGTTCCTTTCCCGTCGTGCCGGCGGATTTTCAATAACACCCCGGCGTTGGCAATCCCTTTCGTCGAGAGCCAGGGACCAGAGAAAGCTCGCTACAAAGAGAGGAAAGCAAAAGCTCACCGTTGACTATGACGATGACGCCCAGCAGGCAGAGCAGCAAGTGTCGCAGCAGGCCCATCTTCGCCCGTCGAATAGAGATCACCGGAAAAAAGGGGGGACACGCAAAAAAGGAATCCTCACTTGCTGTTGTCGGACATTGTTTTTCAATCTAGCCGGTGGGGAAAGCCCCTTTCTCGAACTGTCTCTGGCGATCAGTCGACCAGGGACAGGCGAATGTTCATCGCGATCCTGACACTTGTTACCATCTTGGACGAGAACTCCGGTGGGAGTTTATTCACCGGTGCTATTTTCTCCGAATAAAATAAAAAGAAGAGTGTCGACGATCAGGCGGATATCTCGGCTGTGAAACGAGTGACGATCGAGTTGACGATCGAAATGAAAATCACGATTAATTAAGAAAACTTTGGGCGAATACGAATGGCGATCGAATCGAACGAAGAACTGATAGGGATCCAGATTTCACTGGTTCGAGATTCGTCTCGTTTCTGTCCGTCCAGAGGTCCGTGTTTCCCTGAGAGGGATCGCAGTGTGTCTTTTCCGATCTTCCCCTCTGCGGGACGGCGACTTCCAGACGACTCTTTGTCCCTCGTATTTCAGAGCCCGGATATATAATATCTCCCTTCCTGCGGGGATCTTCGATCTGGTTGTTTGTTCTTGATGACGTCAGCTAGCCAGAAGCTGTCCCACGATCCTTTGCAAGCCCGCCGCAAACAGCGAGGGATGAGAAACCGAATCCTCTCTGGAGACACGGTGTGCCCCCGACTCCGTGCACCTCTTAACGTAATTGCTTTTACCGTGTGTCGAATTCCGACAATCTCAAACGACAAAGCAGTCAGCCTGGCCACCGCTGCTTCTCCTTTTACGCACCATCCGAAACGAAATCCTCTTACGTGTATCGCCGAGGAATCCTCGAAGGCTTTGTTGAAAATTTCTTTACACGAATGGACTCGGGGGACTCGACTCTCTCGGCGTTCAACCTTGTTGCAAATGGCAGTCAATTCTCAATGTATCGCGGCGACTCGAACAGTATATTCCGGCTGGAGGAGTCGGACAGAGTCGAAAAGTGGCGCGTCAGGGGGTGGAAAGCGACGAAACGCTCGTCGAAAGGAAACGCCACGACGGGTTTCCGGCCACGGCGAACTCGCGGCGCTTACTGAGTCTCTCCAGGCGCTCCTCGAGGGTGACGAGCACGTTTCTCACCCCCACCAGCAGCAGCCTGGCCGCCACACGAGAGGCCGCGCGGCGATCGGCCGCGCTCGCGCACTACCAGCCGCTACCACACGGTGGTTACGCGCGACTCGCCGTTCCACTCGCGAGCGTCGCGACGCTTTTCAATGAGCGAACTGACTGTGAGCAGCAGCAGCAGCAGCAGCAGCAGCAGCAGCAGCAGCAGTAGCAGCAGCAGTAGCAGCAGCAGCAGCGGCGGCGGCGACGGCGGCCAAGGCGGCCAAAGCGGCTCGACTGGTGGGGTGCAAAACGGAGAGAAAACCGCGTAAGGCGCAGACACACGTACGTAACACGTATGTGTGTACGAAGACGCGGACGCGTCCGACTCGCGGCACACAAGTTACGACCTCAAAGGGCTCGTTAACGAGCGCCCGCCAAATTAGTATAACGGCCACTCCTCTCACCCCACACGCTGTTCCAAAACATTCCCAGCTCGTGCCGTTTCTTCTTCTGTTTCTTGGGACCGGTTGCGATAACCGGTTCGAGTGTTTTCCTACGGATTCGTCCTCGCACAGGATGATCCTGAAGTTTCGAAGAGTCTCGTTTGCGGAGAGGTGAAGTCGCGTTTGGGGGTCGGAGTGAAAGAAATTTGTTGCTTCGTCAACACAGAGGCAGTAGAAATATTTGAGTTTTAATATATATATATATATATATATATATATATACTTGGAACAGTTGAGAATTTGGTATTATTTAAATAATTATTTAAATAGATTAAAGTGAAGTTCTATCTTTTTGTTTTTTGTGCTGAAAGTATCGGAGTGTCAAGTTTTTGTATTCTTCTGTCAGGAATGATTGTTAAAACATCGCCTAGTATTACACTGAACACAATAGATGCAAAAGATACTGATACGTAATGTAATCGCAGTCGTCGAGCATAGAAAAGTTTCAATAGTTGCTTTCATCTATTCCAAGTGCAATCTGTATTAATATTAACATGCGATACACGATAGCAGATCCAAAGAGAGACTCTGTAAGCTGGAATCTGTAACAAAACTCGCGTATTATTCCCTTGATGGCACATTCGTATCAATACACCTCCGATTTGTATGTCATTTGTAAGTAAAATTCAAAGCATGTTGTATCGAGCAAAAGAACACCATTAGATCGGCTGTCATTGTTCTCTCCGTAATGAGCACGGAGTTCGACTACCAAAATATTCAACTTTTACCATTAACGATCGTTATAACATACGAAAGAAAAATATTCAAATAATTATCAAGAGCGATATACAGCGGAGAGCACAATGAAAAATTGTCGACAATTTAAACTGTTATAATTACGTAAAAATGGATTGTATAACGATCTATTTGATTTCGTTTTGGGAGCGTAAATTCATTTTTGTCGAAGATGATTTCACATCATGTCGCGGATGAGACTTTGCCATTGATCGTTTACTACAAAACACGAAGGGATAATGCAACACACTCGAACGTCATTAACGTTGTATCGGCTCGGTTCTCGATAGGTTGTATCGTGTAGAATACTCGACGGATTTTTGCGTCAAAAAAAAAAAAAAAATCTACAAGCACCGATACTCATTGGCGATCGTTAATTAATCTCTACGCGATCGCGTATATCGGGAGTGATGCGAGCTATCCGTGCACTAACGAGCTACGCGTCATACACGATCGATGTAATTAATAATTAGTTTCTCCGTATCAAAGCGGTGCCGTGAACTCTACTGTCTCTCCAGAGACGTAAATAATTATCCAATAGCCGCGACAGTGTATCCTGTAATCAACAACGCGTCGATCTATGCTTGTTTAATGCAGGGAACTTTTAAAAGACCGTCGGCATCGAAAGAAGACAGACTGTCGTTACCCGACTTCCTATTTAGTTCTAGATTTTTCACACGTATTGACATCAAGTACGTCCCTTTCTCGAGAAGATTTTTCTTTTTAAATTAATATTGTTTGAGTATGTAAATTTTATTTGTCGAGACAGAATTTACGACACGGACGTTAACGCTAAAGTTAGTTTTCTGGATAAGAAATTTCTGCACAATAACAATCACCATGTCATGAACCAAGTGCACGTCAGAAAAATCGCGCAGACGAGGACAGTTGCCGAAAGATGGATTCACTCATTAGTACTTGTCATCCCACGCGAGTCAATCTCAAGAAATTTTAGAAGTTGCCTTCATACTTTCTGATTGGTCTTAATATGTTCCCTTTGCATTTTTTAATCTTTTAGAAGAGGAGACGAAAACTCTCAGGAATAAAGTCAATTATTACCACGAGCCAATATATAAAATTAGATCTGCAAATTAGATAAACTTTATTATGTACGTTTCGACATTTATTCTAAAATACACTCCTCAGCTTGACCTCGCAAAATTGCCCAAGACGATTGCAAAATCCTTTGTATTCGAATGTGAAATAAATAATTATATCCACGTCTAAAATAAATAAATCTTTATAAATCTAAAACAAACTTCGACGTATCAATTTCCTTCGTGGCCAGGCGAGAGAAAACATTCGGAAACTCGCTCAGCGGAATGAAAAAATCGGCCGTTGAACGGGCTAACACGATGAATTCTTGATCGATCGTTTCGATTTCTGCACGCGGACGGGCAGATTTTCGCCCGGCGATTTAACAAGTTCACAGCAATAACCAAGCAGAAGCAAGCGGGGATGAATTCGTCGAGGGATTAGAAAAAAAAAAAAAAAGAAAGAGGAAGCTTTTTTTCACGGCTGCCAGACCACTCTTTGATCGGCGATCCTTCAAAGCTCCGCTGAGCCCCCTGTCTCATTTCGATTCTGTTTTACTTCGCCCGCATATGGATATTCCCACCTCTCCGCGTTTTATTTCCTTTTTTTCCTTTTTGTACCCGTCCCCGTCTTTCGCTTTATTCGCGTCTTTCCATCGCCCAATTTTCGGCTTCGCGTGAAACGAGTGCAAAAAGAGAGAGAGAGAGAAAAGAGAATAGCCGCCCCCTCATTAACCGCTGCTGGTACCTCTATGGAGGAGAAGCTTCGAGCCTAAAATAGGGTAAAATTTCCCTGTCCAAACTGAAACGGATTTCGCCGCGTGCGATAAATCTATTTCGCGGACACGACCCGATTGAAACTTTTCACCGTTTTTTTTTTTTTTTCTCCCCCCACCCCATTTTTTTCTTCTTATCTTCCAAGGGATGATCACGATCCTTTGTTTTGCCCGTTGATTATGTTAAAGAGGTATTGTAAAAGATTCGTGCGATTTTGCGACGGAGTAGTCGCAATGAATTTAATGACCGTACGTCTGACCATATACTGTGCAATACTACTTGCTGCTGGCTCGAACGTACAGATTTATTTTCTTTTTCTTTTCCCAGTTTTCGATATTCGAAGTGATAACGAGCTTTTTGTTTCGTCTGCTGATCACGTTAAACAATCCGTAGAATTTTGAAAAGAAATTACTATGTATCATACTATTCGAGTAACATACATGTTGTCGGTGTGTCGTTCCTTTCTTTTCATTTTGGTAAAATTAAAGCGAAGAAAATCGAACGTACAGGTTTAGTCTTTTATTTTCTTTTTCTTTCCCTAGTTTTCGATATTCGAAGTGATAACGAGCTTTTTGTTTCGTCTGCTGATCACGTTAAACAATCCGTAGAATTTTGAAAAGAAATTACTATGTATCATACTATTCGAGTAACATACATGTTGTCGGTGTGTCGTTCCTTTCTTTTCATTTTGGTAAAATTAAAGCGAAGAAAATTGCAAAAGACTTGCATAATTATGTACGTGAAGAAATATTATCAAATAAATTGAATAATCATTTGTTTGACTGTATACCGTGCCAACACCATTTGGTTTATACTATAATGTATATTATCTCTTTTTTATTTTAACGTATATATAGAAACAAAATTGAATTATCACACGTCCGACTATATGCGAATTCTGCTTTGCTGCCTCTCTTCATTTGAATTTCACCGCGCGGATCCAAATTAGATATTTTCCCCGGATAATATAAATTAAAACGGACCAGCCGTCCCGTAAGAAACATTCGAAATCGAATAAACTATACATCGTGTCATTATTGACTGATATTTGTAAAACCAGGACGCGAAACGCATTTTCACATCCATAAAGTGTACGTGTTTATCGCGTGACGCTCATTTGCATGCATATTGATGGAATAAATTACAAAATTACGGTACAAAACTGTTCCTCTCTGTCCGTCACAAATGACATTCGCTCGGCAAAATAAAATCTTGTAAAAAAAAAGAAGAAAAACAAAGAACTGAATCCGAGAACGAAATCATCCGTGAAAATCCACTCGTGATGCTTAATTTTAATTCGTTCGACCAATCGCACAAATTTTACCACATCCCGTATAAAACGCTCACTTCATCTACATATGCGTCACGTTGTGAATTTGCATCGTTTCCCTCTTCGAAACATTTGTTAATAACGACGATGGTTCCTTCGTAACTTCAACGATTGCAACGTGGATGAAGTGTACGATGATGAGCGTGACGTGAAAACGAAATGAAAGGAGATGACGAAAGTATCACTCGACAGTATTTTCGAATTCTGAAATTCGATTCGACGAAACGTGCATACAGATATGTACAGGATGATATCCTTTTTCGGAGATTCGATTTCAAAGAAGATATTAGAAGAAATATTTCTACGTTGTAAAAAAAAAACCAAAGGAAAGATACACAGATTGTTAATAAAACATCTTAATAATTAATAAAGTCTTCCAATTATACTAAAAAAATTAAAAAAGATGATGTCCAAGTAAAACATATATTGTAATAAAATACAATGCACATTGTTATACTTCACTCGTACAATTAACAAAGCTTCCAACTGTGCTAAAAAAAAAAAAAAAGATTGAAAATGCTAAAAATTTTGAGACATTGAACCGATGATCAGCAGCTACCATAAAGTAATACAACGACATTGCAAACTCGTCGCTCGACTCTGACCTTGACAGCTGTATGCCCATAATTTGAACGATCGTCTGGTTGACGAATAAAAAAAAAAGGGAAAGACATTCGCGATAACGTGCATGATGTAATAACTCGTGGAATAAACCAAGAACCGGAATAAACCGTCCGTTTAATAG